ATGTTGCTTTTGGAATAATCCACCAATTTTTTTAAAATTAAACACTATCTAAAGATTTGCATCGAAGCGTTTTTTTTTATAGTGATTTTAATCACTGTCAGATATCATTATACTTGATCCAACTATGCCTCGTCACCACTGTGCCGCGATCCCCCTGTGCTAGGTTTTTTTTAAAAATGGCTTAATCAATATGATTTTTTAAATTACACATTTTATTATACTTATATTTTCGTGTATGTATTTAATTGAAGTAAGATGATTATGAACAGCAATGACAAAGCAAATAGTTTTATGTTAATTTGTTTTAAAAAAATTCTGAATAATATTTCAAATCTGCAATTAGATCAATTTCTATCACCTCTTTTTTTACATTATTACTAATTAAAAAAAATAGTATTTAAATTTAAAAATAATCAATTTAAAATTCAATTCAAAATGTCATGCTTAACTTTTTTTTGGTCTATTAAAATTGATTTTTATGAAAATTTATAATTTAAAAATATTGAACTTTTAATCTTTTTATTAGTTTAACTTGCAACTTTGAAATGTAATATTTTCTTCTAGAACATTTACAAAAATCAATTTCTCTTTTATTTCTCATCTTCTTTTATAACATTAAACGTGTAAATATACAAATGATATAAAGCATCAATTATCTGTTTAAATACTTATAGGTTAAAAATAATACATAATAATCTTAATTTGCAATTACAATAATAATTAAAATTAAATATTAATATGGAATCATAATTTTAATACTTATACAACATATTTACAAAAAATATATTTTCTTACACAATTTTTTAATGTTATTTTTCATTTTGAATTATTACTGATTTTAATCAATTAATAAATTTTACATATTTTTTTCATCATTGTTCATTTAGTGAATATTAATTCTGATGAATACTTTCCTTAACGTTGTGATTGGAACTGAGAAATTTTGATCTATGACAAACTCATTTTTGGGTTGGATTTCAGGTACTATCCAATTTTCTGTTTTTTCCTTTTAAGCTAATTAATCATGATTTATATTATTACCAAACACCAAATTTAACCAATTATAGTTAATGTTATCACTTTAACAAAGTCATTACTATCAAACATAATACCACATTAGTCACCTTCATTTTTGCATGACTAAAATAAATGAATAATTATTTAATAATATCAAAGGTTAGAAATAACCTTTTTAATAAATTTTAATACATACTATGAACGTATAAATACATGATTCATATAAATATGTGAAAAAGTATATAAAAATATTAGAATGCCATAGAAAAAATTAGGTAATTAAGTAAAAATTAGTTTTAAAAATGTATATAAGATATTGGTTCGAAAGTTCATATCCAACAAAAGCACTAAATAATGACCTTAACTACTACGAGAACTAAGGCAATAGAGTTGTATGAACGTAGCGCCCGGTGGTATTCAGGCGGGTTCGTTAACGTTCGTGATTTTATTTTGTTCTAAGTCTTTGGATATGTCGAAGATAATGAATAAGGTGAGTGGACTGTATGTTTGAATGTAGAATGAATTTTACAATATATAATTATAACAATTAAATGTATTATACAAAAAATATAAAATCTTATATACGCTAATGTGGATGGGGGAGGGCACTTAATACTAATGCCACAAAGGCGCTGATATAAACAAATAATAAATTATACAAGTGAGTAAGTCTTATAAAGAAGATGAAGAAGTATTATATTTATCGGATAATTGAAACAGGGCTGATGATAATGTTGAATATTGAAATTGAAGTCGAATGCTAGTAGCTTACCAACGTGTGCAATATGCTGTGAATGGTACTGTGATGTATCTTAAAAAATATATAGACCCAACGGCGATATAATGAGCGCAAAGGGTGCGATAATCGCAAAGGTGATATTTTACTTTTACAACAAAACAAATACAAAACTACTAGCTCGCAAACGCTATAGAGCTTATAGCTAAAATGCACTAAAATGGCGGCGTCTATGCAGACACGGAAAGAAGAGCAATAACAGCGTTATTGCTCTTCTTTAAGCGTTAAGATGACGGCGATAATGCAGACATATAGAGAAGACCGACAACAACTCAACGATAACATGAATAATCACAACACAATTTTTCATATTCGGCCGATGTATATCCAACATACTCCCGGCGTTGGAAGATGAATTCTTCCAAAATTTACAAGAAAGAAATAATAATAATAATAATAATAACAAAAACATATTAGTAATTTAAAATGGAAAGTCTAGAGGAGAGTAAATATACATATTTATTTGGCAATCTGCGATAGTAAAAAAAAATTAGTAACATAAAAGGCATAAAGGAAATAACAGGAGCAATGATTTCAATTGTCGACAGGTAGTTTGGTAATTTTTACAACAGACCGTTTGAGTTCGCCTTCACTTGTACGGCAACTGAGACCTGGGTGTACTGCGACTACACGTCCCGTACGCTAATCCGTCGAAGGTCTGTTTGGAGCTTCTACAATAACTAAGCCGTTGACTTTGATGTTGGGTTCCTTGATGTTCCATTTTTGACATACCTGTAGTGTCGTGAAATATTCACGGGTCCACCTCTTCCAAAATGACTGGTTGAGTTGCCATAATAAATGCCAACGAATGAGCCGATTGATGGTTATATGATTGAAATCATTCTCAAGCAGTGAAACTAACAGCTGGTCGATTAGGAAATGGCCCGTTGTAAGAGCTTTCAAAAATAATAATACTAATTATTATGTAAGTGAGGTAGCGATAAAAGCTTTTTTTGGGCATTTCTGGTACTTCAATGAAATAATTGTTGGATTATCATTTTTTGACAATGATTTATCGACAGATGCAAAAATTAAAATGGTGCAAGCATTAAATAAAAAAGGAGAACACATTCCAAGAAACGGTAGCACAGTGAAGTCGCGGCACAGTATGGACATGGCATAGTTGGTATATGTATAGATGATATCTGACAGTGATTAAAATCACTATCATAAAAAACGCTTCGATGCAAATCTTTAGATAGTGTTTAATATTAAAAAATTGGTGGATTATTCCAAAAATTACATGATCTGTTATTTCCTTATTTTTATTGTGATTAAGATAAAGTATGTCAAATGAAAAAGGGATATAAATATTATTTCTCATAAAAAAATTGTGTTGATCCATACACTTTTCAAAAAGTTATAACATTATAAAGTTAAAAACGTAAAAAATAAAATCGAGTATTTTCACACAAAAATACCATTCGGTAGCCATTTTCACCGTGAAAACAAAATAAAGTCCGTAATTTTTTTTTTCATAATAAAGTTAATTTGAAGTTATAGATGCATCATGTCTTTACCTATCATTTTATATATTTTTTATTTGATCAAGTGAGAGCTGAAAAAAATGGCAACAGACACAAAAAAAATAAAACACATCGTAGTAAAACCAATACCTTCTCAGCTTTGCATCGAAGCTAAAAAATTGCACGAATAGTATTAAACTACAATAATTGTAATTAAATTATATATTCGTGACTTTTATTGCGTTACAAACATCTTTATGGTAAATATTACTTGTTCAAAGATCATAAACACGAAGGAAATATCTGTCCGTAATCTTATCGATTTTAAATAAAACCAACTGTAGTTAAAAAAAGGACAATTTAAATATTTTTGATCTTTGAGATTTTTTTGAAATTGTATATTATGTTTTCAAAATGTTTATTTTCTTAAGTTTCTTCATATTATAGAATTAAGAAACCTTAAGTAACGATGTCATCGTTGTTAAGATTTACCTATTCTTGAAAATGATTTTATTATATAAAAATTTTAAACCGTTTGCATTTTTAACAAAAATATATATTAAGATTTTTTAAATCAAAAATTATATTTATAATATAATATAGTATAATATAATTAAAATTATATTATATTGATTTTATTTTGATAAAAGAGGTCCAACTACAATATCAGAATAATTCTAATTAGACATAAAACGAGTGTTTCGATCACATAAATGTTATACTTTGCTTTGATATACAAAACGGACTATGTCCATTTCCAAAAATAATTTTGACATATTTTATCAAAACCTGTATCTTCATAATCTGTTTTAATAAAATTTTTATAAAAATCATAAAAGTATCTTGTAATTAGTTCATAATCGGTAACACATGTCTCATTTAACTTTTCATTTAAATTATTTGCATAATCTTTAAATTTAATTATTAGTTCTTTCCTAGTCATTTTTAAGCCTTTTAAATAACAGCGATTGTTTTTTGGGTGTTTAAAAATATGTAGCATACTGATAAAGTGGTTTCTCGCAAATTCAAAAATGTTAATATAATCAGCAGCTATTGTGTTAATATTTACTTCATTATTGTTTATAAACGTACATCGTACTACATCATTAGTTTTAAGCTGAACTACGTAATTATAGATCAAATCACGAGTTGAAAGTAAATCAGAGTAAGATTTATTGTGTTGCCAAATTTTTGACAGTTTTAATTTTTCTATAATCGTCAACATAAAATCGAACATTTTTACTGTATCATTAATTGCGTTAAAAAGACATGTTACACATTTCAGATAACAGTTTGAGCCAATTTCATTTGTACACATTTCTTTTAATGCAGATAATAATGCATTATAATTTATAAGCACTTCTAAAAATCTACACCTCACCATTTGAGTAAAGTACTGTTTTTTAAGTTGAAGATTATGATCTGTCGCCAAGTCTCTTATCACATGTTTGGCACTTATTTTTAAATCATTACATTGTATTTCAATGTGATTAAATGAATCCCAATTACCCACGGTAATAAGATCATTGAGTGCCATAATTCCCAGTTCATGATTAATTATATTGTCTGTAGGAGGTATTAATCTGTAGAAAAATTCAAATAAATAATTTAGATAATTTTAGAATATCAAATTTGTTTATACACAGTTATTTGATTAAGGATATTACCCTAAATTTTTTTATTTTATATTTTTCATTGTTTATTGTAAAATCTTAAAATATATATTATACAACTAATAATTAAAATTACTCAAAATGTAGTAATATACAACTAAATATCGACCAGTCAAAATTTTGATGAATGCATTCTCCATTTAATAGTAAATAATAATAATAAGTACCCGTTTAATTATTAAGATTACTCTAAAATCTAAAGATAAAAATTATATTTATTTTTAGCACTGAGTTTTTTTTTTTTTGCATTCTTATTCATATCAGATTTCAGTTTGTTTACTAGAAATTAATTTAGTCAAAATAATAAAAATAATTGCTATTTTTTTCTTGGCTTCTTTACAAAAATGAAATTTACTATCTACATCTACAGTCTTGAACGTTAAGTACAAGACTACGATATGTTACATATTTAATATTACAACACCAATAGAAAATATTTAGAAATATAGGAATCAATAAATAAATAATACTTACTTACTATTTGTTAAATTTATCAACTCAATTAATCCTAAATCCTTGTAATAATTGTTGATGGTTTCAGTGCAAAACAAATTAACCTTATGACACACATAAGAAAGGAAATTTGGAAATTCATTGGTTTGTGACAAATATTCCGTTTCATATATAGTTTTAGAATTAACTTTCTCACTATTATTTACTATACATTTATTCTTCTCGAAAAATTGATTTGTTATTTTAGATATATCATCAATGAACTCTTTACTATCGAGAAATGTTTGAATATTAAGAAATTCGTTCTGAATTTGTTTAAAATATTTGTGATTTTTTACCTCATAAAAGTTGTCTACTGTGGCAAATGGGTTACTTAGTAAATAGAACGAGGTAAGTTTATAGTATTTTAAGTTTAAGTCTACATAACTTATAAAGGTCATAGCATTGTATAAACTTTCAAACATTGTCAATGAATTTTTTATTGCCTTTTCAAGTAAATATGAACAATTATAAAAATCTTCTATAAAATCAGCGCCATAAAAATTTAAACATATATCAACAACAATATTTAACAATTCTATATAACTTAAAAATATTTTGTTATATGTGTAGTTTAAAATTTGAACAATATTATTGAAAATACTTATTCTACTAGAGTCGTCAAGTTCTGGCATCGTTAAAACTGGAGCATTCGAATTTGCAATCGAATCATAAATTAAGTTAGAGTTTTCCATACACTGCCATCCATTTTGATTAATCATATGATCTACTACTTTAAAAAAATAATTTAAGTAAAATTTTCTTCTAATTCCACAATCTACAGATATGATATTGCAATGAATTAAAGATATAGATAAAACAATGAGCTCGAGATTCATGTCAATTAATGTATAAACAAAAGTCACAGCATAATAAAGTAAATTAGAATATTGAACTATATTCATTATTTATCGTTTTATTCATACCTAAAAATACTGTGTTCGTGTTAAAATTTGGAGCATTTAATATTTATGTTATTTAGAATTATTTTTATGCTAACAAATTACCAATTTACAGTCGTGGCTCGTATAGGTAAAAAAAATTGTCAAATTAATTTTAATAAAATAAAACACAATACACGTATTATTATTAGGTTACAGTAAACAAATATAGCTTAAAAAACTAAAAAACACGCTTTTAAAGCATATCGAACTAAAAAGTTAAAAATAAGCTTAAAACAATAATGAACGAAAAATACTAGTATTATTGTGAAAAATATCGTTGGGCGCTCAATATACGAAAAATATGGGACAAAGCCCCCTCGCTTTTTTCAAAATAATACTAGTATTTTTCGTTCATTATTGTTTTAAGCTTATTTTTAACTTTTTAGTTCGATATGCTTTAAAAACCTGTTTTTTAGTTTTAGCTTCGATGCGAAGCTGAAAAGGTATTGGCTTTACTATGATGTGTTTTTTTTTTTTTTTTTTTTTT